GGATAATTTTACGCTGCCTCATGACAAACTGCCCTACTTTGGCAAAAATGTCCTACTGTACGTAATTTATGCACATTTCTGCTGCCAAACAATAATTCCAGCACAAATTTAAGTAGGTATGACAGTTTACCACTTCACTTTGCCAATCAGAGTATGTTTGTAGCTGATATTCATAAAGCCAGTACGGTTTGACACTTCTTTTTACCCATTAAAGTGTGCTTGTAGGTCATATAATACCTCCGGCGCTGTCTCGGACGGCAGCCTGTCTAACATGCTCTCTGCAGTGTAAAAACTACTTTCCCCTTTCTTTATTTTTTGTGTTTATTTTGTTACTTATTGTGTAGTCGTGAATTTTTATCTTTTTGTGCTATGTTTGGATGCGAAACTCGGCGCAAAACAACTGAGATGACCGCGACGCCACGCTGCTCCTTTCTCTATAGCCGCGACCAGTTGCTGGGGCTAAGACAGCACAGCCATGTCGGCATTCAGCATGAGATTCCCGCGGTGATCAAGATGAACTACCGTGGCTGCAGAGCGGGGAAAACGCGAAGACTGAGGAGGAAAAGATTCCGTCCTGCTCTCCCGTCTGTGGTTACTGGCAATGTCAGATCGCTGGTTAATAAGATGGAGGAGATCGCAACGCTAACAAGGACAGAGAAAGTTTTCCGAGAATGCAGTGTTATGTGTTACACGGAGACATGGCTGCACAAAAACATCCCGGACCAGGTGGTGGATATAAACGGATTTACGTGTGTGAGAGCGGACAGGGACTCGGGCAGTTGTGAGAAGAAGAGGGGAGGAGGACTCGCTCTTTATGTTAACAACCGCTGGTGTTCCCCCAGTCACGTTAAGGTGAGGATGGCCGTGTGTAACAAACACATAGAACTGTTAGCGGTCGGTCTCCGACCATATTATCTACCGCGTGAGTTTTCCCTCGCCATTATCATCATTGTTTACATCGCTCCTGATGCCAACTCGGCGCAGGCGTGTGACGTCATCAGCTCAGCGACAGCGGACGTACTAAATCGTAGTCCCTCTGCGTTTGTGGCTATAACGGGCGATTTTAACCACACGAACCTCTCCACTGTTCTACCTACATTCAAGCAGTATGTGGACTGCAAAACAAGAAACAATAAAACACTGGACCTGTTTTATGCCGATGCTGCTGAGGCATACACCTCCAGCCCTCTCCCTCCCCTGGGCAGGGCTGATCACAACCTGGTCTCCCTCCAGCCCCTTTACAGACCTGCCGTCCAGAGACAACCCGCAGCCACAAAAACGGTCACAACATGGACAAGGGAGTTGGAAGAGACTCTGCAGGGATGCTTTGAGTCAACAGACTGGGATGTTCTTTGTGATTCCAATCAGGACAATATTGACAATCTGACAGGCTGTGTTACAGACTATATCAACTTCTGTGTTGACACGGTAGTGCCCCAAAAAACCATACTGTGCTTTCCCAACAATAAGCCCTGGGTTTCCAAAGACATAAAAGCAACCCTGAACAAGAAAAAAAGAGCTTTCAGAAATGGTGACAGAGATCAGCTGAAACTGGTGCAGAAGGAGCTGAAAGCCAAGATTGCTGAGGGGAAAGAGTCCTACAGACGGAGGCTGGAAAACAAACTGCAGGAAAACAACACCAGGGAGGTGTGGAATGGAATGCGGGCTATCACTGGCCTGAGACAAAAGAGAGGTGTTGGGATTGAGGGGGATGTCGAAAGTGCTAACAACCTAAATCTACACTTCAATAGGTTCGACTGCCCTGTGTCTCCTGTCTCCACAGCCAGCTCTTCCCATCATCCCCTTCCATCCCCCTCATCTCCTGCCTCCTCTGACTGTCTCACCCTGTCCCTCTCAGCAGATGACATCAAAAAAGAATTGGGAAGACTCCACCCCGGCAAAGCTGCTGGTCCTGATGGTGTCAGTCCAAGGGCCCTTAGGTGTTGTGCTTCCCAGCTGTCTGGAGTTTTACAACGGATCTTCAACATGAGCCTGGAGATGCAGAGAGTTCCATCACTCTGGAAGACATCCTGCCTGGTTCCTGTCCCTATAAAGATCAACCCGTCGACCCCCAGTGACTACAGGCCAGTGGCTCTGACCTCACACGTCATGAAGACGCTGGAGAGACTCGTCCTAAAACATCTGCGGCTGCTGGTGGAGCCTTGGCTGGATCCCCTGCAGTTTGCTTATCAACCTCGTATCGGTGTGGAGGATGCCCTCATCTACCTGCTGGACCGGGCATATTCTCATCTGGACATTGCTGGGAGCACTGTGAGGGTCATGTTTTTCGACTTCTCTAGTGCCTTTAACACAATCAGACCATCACTGCTGGGGAACAAGCTCACAGAAATACAGGTGGACGCCCCACTTGTAGGTTGGATTACGGACTATTTAACAAATAGACCACAGCATGTCCGACTGATGAGCTGCCGCTCAGATAACATCCTGAGCAGCACAGGGGCGCCGCAGGGGACAGTCCTATCACCCTTTACACATCTGACTTCATGTACAAGTCTCAGTCTTGCCATCTGCAGAAATTCTCTGATGACTCTGCCATCGTGGGCTGTATCAGGGATGGTCAGGAGGTGGAGTACAGGAGTGTGGTGGACAGCTTTGTGGAGTGGTGTGAGTGAAACAACCTACAACTTAACATCACAAAGACTAAGGAACTGATTATGGACTTTAGGAAGCAGGCCCCACCTCCTACTCCTGTCACCATAAGAGGGGCTGACGTTGAGATCGTTGAGGACTACCAGTACCTGGGTGTACACTTGGACTGTAAACTGGACTGGTCTAAGAACACCAATGCCATCTTCAAAAAAGGGCAGAGTCGGCTTTTCCTACTGAGGCGGCTCAGGTCCTTCAATGTTGGGAGGAAAATGCTGACCATGTTCTACCACTCGGTGTTGGAGAGCGTTGTGTTCTTTGCAGCTGTGTGCTGGGGCAGTGGGGTGAAGATAGCAGATGCCAACCAGCTGAACAAGCTGATTAGAAGGGCTGGATCTGTCCTGGGTGTTAGACTGGAGAACCTAGAGGAGGTGTCTAAGAGGAGAATGCTAAAAAAGCTTCTCTCTATCATGGACAACCCCTCCCACCCCATGCACGCCCACATGATGGACCACCGAAGCACACGCAGCAAAAGACTCATTGCCCCGAAATACAGAACTGACCGCCACAGGAAATCCTTCGTACCGGTGGCAGTAGGACTGTTTAACTCTTCCTCACGCTGTAGGTGATTCTCAAAATACTATTACCTTGGTTATTCTGTGCCCTCACCGACTGTGCAATATTACCCAAGAGTTCTGATTGTAAATGTTTTTATCCCCCCATCATATCATATACTGCTACAAACCCATATTCTTTTACACAATACTTTAATCACTTTTGTGAATCGCCTGCACCGACGGCTTAATTACTTATCCACAAGGATGCAGTCATGTATTTAATTTAATTATTTTTTTATGAATATATTGTATATCATATTTCTATTTCACCTGTTCCTTTGTCTCTCCAACTGCTTTGAGCATGTACATGACACAAGAATTTCCCTCGGGATAAATAAAGTTGTTCTTATTCTTATATTCACAAAGGTAGCATGGTTTGGCACGTATTTTTTATGCTTGTAGTTTATAATAACAAAAGTAGCATGCTTTGGCACATAATTCTTATGCTTGTAGTTTATAATAACAAAGGTAGCATGTTTTGGCACATAATTTTTATGCTTGTAGTTTATAATAACAAAGGTAGCATGGTTTGGCATGTAACTTTTATGCTTGTAGTTTATAATAACAAAGGTAGCATGCTTTGGCACATAATTCTTATGCTTGTAGTTTATAATAACAAAGGTAGCATGTTTTGGCACATAATTTTTATGCTTGTAGTTTATAATAACAAAGGTAGCATGGTTTGGCATGTAACTTTTATGCTTGTAGTTTATAATAACAAAGGTAGCATGCTTTGGCACATAATTCTTATGCTTGTAGTTTATAATAACAAAGGTAGCATGTTTTGGCACATAATTTTTATGCTTGTAGTTTATAATAACAAAGGTAGCATGGTTTGGCACATAATTTTTATGCTTGTAGTTTATAATAACAAAGGAAGCATGTTTTGGCACATAATTTTTATGCTTGTAGTTTATAATAACAAAGGTAGCATGCTTTGGCACATAATTCTTATGCTTGTAGTTTATAATAACAAAGGTAGCATGTTTTGGCACATAATTTTTATGCTTGTAGTTTATAATAACAAAGGTAGCATGGTTTGGCATGTAACTTTTATGCTTGTAGTTTATAATAACAAAGGTAGCATGCTTTGGCACATAATTCTTATGCTTGTAGTTTATAATAACAAAGGTAGCATGTTTTGGCACATAATTTTTATGCTTGTAGTTTATAATAACAAAGGTAGCATGGTTTGGCATGTAACTTTTATGCTTGTAGTTTATAATAACAAAGGTAGCATGCTTTGGCACATAATTCTTATGCTTGTAGTTTATAATAACAAAGGTAGCATGTTTTGGCACATAATTTTTATGCTTGTAGTTTATAATAACAAAGGTAGCATGCTTTGGCACATAATTCTTATGCTTGTAGTTTATAATAACAAAGGTAGCATGTTTTGGCACATAATTTTTATGCTTGTAGTTTATAATAACAAAGGTAGCATGGTTTGGCACGTATTTTTTATGCTTGTAGTTTATAATAACAAAAGTAGCATGCTTTGGCACATAATTCTTATGCTTGTAGTTTATAATAACAAAGGTAGCATGTTTTGGCACATAATTTTTATGCTTGTAGTTTATAATAACAAAGGTAGCATGGTTTGGCATGTAACTTTTATGCTTGTAGTTTATAATAACAAAGGTAGCATGCTTTGGCACATAATTCTTATGCTTGTAGTTTATAATAACAAAGGTAGCATGTTTTGGCACATAATTTTTATGCTTGTAGTTTATAATAATAAAGGTAGCATGTTTTGACACGTAATTTTTATGCTTGTAGTTTATAATAACAAAGGTAGCATGGTTTGGCACTTGTTTGTAGAAGCAGTCTGCATGCCAAGGTGCTTAAGTTATACAGCTGTCACCATTGAAGTGATTGGAACACCTGACTATATAAACTTTGACAATGAACTCACTCCATTATAGTTACAGTATATATTTACTGAATATATAGATACATATATTTGACATTTATAGATCCAACAGAACACAGGGACAAAGAACTGAAAAAGAAATTTAAAGTCAACTGTCATACCAAACCAGTAAAATCTGGAACACACTGCATTTAGCGTTTTGTGTGTGCCAGTGTGTCCTCCGATTGGAGATGAATGAAACTCATGAAAAATCTTCCTGGCATCATCCATGGTTTTTACTACTCTTCTGGTTCCAACAAAGAGTTCTCCATCTGCAGTAAAACAATATATATTTAGAATTTAATGTAACCACATATATGAGTTGTTAGGATTAACAATAAATTACTGACCCTTTTGTTTGAATTTTGAGGCATATATTCTGAGGTTTTGCCTCTGAGCCTTGTCATATCCTGAAGGGTAGGAGCCCGCAGAAATGAATGTGTAAATCTCTTCCCACTTCTTCTCCATATCTATGAATGTAAGTAGACATTTTCTTCTGAACTTCAATATGTGCAGTTAACAATGCAAATAATTTAACTTATTAAATAGCGACATTACCGAAACAGCCTTAAAACACCGAAGCTGCGGATTCAGAGGTGTTGTCCAAATACCACATGTCCAGTAACCACAGCAGACTTAACCAAAGCTGCAAATTCGACAGTTTTGTGCAGAAAGCAGATAGCGACTTTACTTTAATATTGACAAACAATCACAAAGGCTTAAATAAATCAATAAAAAGTACTAATACTTAACTACTTACCTATTTTCCTGCAAATCAAAGAACGGAGTAGCATGAAATCACAGCCGGATGCGCTTTGCTTCCCTTTTGTGTTGTGCGCATGCGCAGGAACGACGGGTAGGACGGTTTACGGGGTAGGAGAAATTCCCGGAACTCCGGCTGCTCGGGTTCCACTGGAGGGTCGCTACGTGGTTGTTCTGAGCTAGTTAGCCCCGCGCTAGCTAAGTAACTACGGCTGTTTACAGGTTTTTCAACAGCGCGGAGCCGGGACTCCAATTCCGACACCCTCGCCTCCAAAGCTACAAAAATGCTACATTTATTACACGTACCATTATCACTAAAGGAGGCAGAGGAGTAACCATAGACTGTAACTAAACATCTGACACAGAGAGCAAGAGATAGGAGACGGAGAAGCAGAGACAGAAGTAGCCATAGCCGTGCTGAGGCTAAGCTAACTGGACGAGCAAACTGTTCAGTACCAAATAAACTGCGTGCAAACTCAAATGGTTCCCTAAAAGCTAGGTGGAACAACAGAAAATGTGTGTTTTAGCGTGCTTTTGTGCTACAATAACTCAGAGATATCCAAGTACAGAGAAATTAAATCAGCTTTAGCGAGCCCCAAACACCAAACAGCTACACGGAGTGCAACACTGAAAACAGGAAACGCCTTACCGCCAGGTGCAGCCAATCACACACACACACACACACACACACACACACACACACACACGCACACACACGCGCGCGCGCGCGCACACACACACACACTGCAGCATGTTAGAATCATCTGAATGACTAATTTAACTACATTGAAATGCTTTTGTAATAATTTAATATCTTATTCTGGAGTAAAATAAAGAAACAAGCTAAATCATCACATATCTGTGGCATCTAGGCGCATCTTCTGAGCCCCGCCCATTCCACCAGAGTCAGTCCAATTCCTTCCAGTTGTCAGACTTAATAGCATTCTGGAACCAAAGAGGGTGTTATAGCTAGTATCATCTGAAATGCAAGATTGAGGACTGAGTTGAGAGGTTAATTGAACTGTTTCTGTAAAGGTTCCATATAATTAAAAATCTAACTTTTGGAACTTTTTATCATGTTATATTGTCATTTCCTCATAAGAAACACGCCAAAGCCATTTTTGGCCTCATTCACACATTTTCCTCCCATCTCGGCTTCAATTTGGTCCTCTCCTCCGAAGCGGGTCTGGTCTTGGTTGGCATTATATTTTTCATAGATTAATATATAAAAGCCCCATAAACACTGTAGCTTCAACTGACTAATTATCAGGTTTGTCTCCATTATCTCGTTTGAATGAATAACCTAAAAAGTGGCCAGCAAGGGGCGGTTCAGGCTGGAATAAACATAGCCATCACCATTTGTAGACTAATGTGATAAGGCAGGAAATAAACCAGAGACATTTGTGTGTATATTAGGGCTGGAAAGAGTTTTTGGGGAATTTGTAACCAAACTTATCTGTAGAGATTAATAAAACCATCTTCTGTTATGAGACTTTCATGCCAGCGAGTTCAGAGGTCAGTCATGTAACATTATGTTAAAAGTGGAATATGGAACACAGACACCAAAGCAACATCTAGTGTGTGGAGGTTGTAGCTGCAACAATAGAACAAGGTTTCCATGTTTGACTTTAGCTCACAAAAAATGGGAGCAAAAACAAAAGTGTTGCATTTATATTTTTATTCAGTGTACTTCACATTTAAATAGATGGTAAAACTCTTGCCTTGTCTATTAAAAGCTAACCGTTAGCATTTGCAACACCATCACACGGCAGAAGCTCCTCCAGGCTTGTGTTATTTGTGGTGATAAAACATCCACGTTGCAAAGCAAGGTCAGTGGTAGAGTCACTTTGCTGTTATCCAATCAGAGGTGAGATGTCCATATATCAGGAAATAATAATAATCCAAATCCTGCCATCTGCAGCTTACTTGTCTGGCTGAATTATACTTCCTGAAGCAGACCCATCTGTTCTCCTGGAACAGGATTATACTAAAACACTTGTTTTTGTACTCTAAACTGTCCCTGTTGCATGCTGAAGGTAGAACATGTTAAAATATACAAAACAAGCTGTCAGTCTAAGGACACAGTGACATAAAAAAAGTCTTTGCTTGCATGAATGAATCAGAATGTCAACGGCATAAAGAGACAATACGGGATGCTAATATGATCAGAAATAGTGTGTTAAAATACAAATGTGCACCAATTGCAATTAAATCCTAATTCTTTTTTAACTGTAGAGATAGGCTGGTGACATACAAGAAAGCCCTCTGCATAGCTAGAGCTGATTTTTATCCATCATTAAGTACCTTGCGTGTACTTCTACACATCACAAAAACAGGTTTATGTGTTGGGGTCATATCATGTGTTATGGATGATACAAGTGCAACCCTCTGTTAGACAGCAGCTTGTTCTACGTAACACAACCCTCTGGTGTGAACGTATCCTACATAGGACACCAGGGCTCTCTCTCTCTCTCTCGCTCACTCTCTCACTCTTTTTCTCTCTTTCTTGCTCACTCACCCGAGAGTGTTACGCTCCTGATGGCTGGATTTGGTTACACTCACCTGCAAGTGATACAGCCTCATAAATACCTTGCTTTTCATGAATTATTATCATGCTCACAGGCTGTGGTGAGCATTCGCATTTGCAGCAATTGTGGATGGAACAGCTGAGCCAAGATGGACATCTCCGTTCTCCCCAACAACAATCACCCTGAAAAGTTTCTCCAGCTGGACGTTGGAGTGTTGGAGGCCAGTCGTGGCCTGTACCAGGTTGGAGCTTTCATGTCCAATCACAGACGATGGCAGAACAGGATCTACCAGCAGGTATGGAAGCTGAATCGAGTTTTTCATAGCCATATTAGGACAAATACTTCCAAAATATGAAAGAGAACAGAGCGATGAGGCATATAACAGTAATCAGCCTAAAATACGTGCAGAAGTCAGAGAAGAGAGAGTTTTTGATGTTACTTGTCTGGCCTGTTTGATATGAGTTTATATATGCTGGATTAGGAGTCAAAGGGTTTAAATAGACACCTGATCGTGATGGCGTTTCACCTCCTACCCAAAGTCGTAACAGAACAAGCTTAATAATAGTAACATTTATTTAATCTTATATATGTTTAAACCTGGATAATTGAGAAACTACATGAGCACACACTAGGGTCTGTACAGTCATTTCATTAGAGTGATTTAGGGGGCTGCATGTTGGTGTAGTCAGTGACACGGTTGACCGATTGCAAGAAGGTCACTGGTTTAAATCTTGGCTGCAGCCTTTCTGTGTGGCGTTATGTTCTCCTTATGCATCCGTAGGTTTTCTCTGGGTACTCTGTTTCCTCTCACAAAACAAAAACATGTTAGCTTAACTGGATATTTGAAACAGTGTGTTTTCCTCCATAATCTTGTGGACTTTGAACAATAGATTATAACTTAATGCCCTCAGTTGCTCTTTCTTCAGCTTTCCATTAGTTTGTGCTTCTACCACGTCATAATTTTGGTGATTAAAGTTACAATAGTTTATAACTGAATGTTATTTGGATGTGTCAGGAGTCAGTCCTGGGGAAAAAGAAAGTCCATCGTCCTTCTGTCCACAGTTTCATCACCCAATAATCTGATCTGTAGAAAAACACCAACATACACCCATTTTGTTATTTATTAAGCAGGAACAAAGGCAACATGGAAACACTGAGTCAACCTGTAAGGTTCAAGATCAGAAGTATTGATTATCAGTTTCTCCCGTAAAAGCAGGATTTTGGTCAGGAAAGTGTTGCTGGAAAGGGTCAAAGGTTATTTCAAGTTCATCAATACAGAGAGAAGTCTTAGGCCCAATCCCAATACTGGCACTGCGCCCTGTGGTCTTCAGTAAAGTGCACTTGGAGGAAGTGCGCAGAAGGCTTTGAGTGCATGGTGCACAAGTGTGCAAATCATTTCCGAATTGGGAGAGGGGGCATTGTGTCATCGACCACAAAACATGCCAGGATACTGGTCTTTGTGCTACTTAAAAAAAAACTTTATAAACAACTTTCAAACAAACAACCAAACAATTATTTGAAATAAATTTACATTCATTGCTGCTTTGCTTAAAACATGCAGAGCATCCTAATCATCCTAAAATGAACTACTTTAATTGGAAAATACATTTTTTCAGAAAAAGCACTTGAGCCTTTCTCCCACTTCACCCAAGTCCACACCAATACAGGCTTGGGTTAGGTGTTGACCAAGGGTGCAAAAGGGGCGTGATCAACTTCCGCACTTGAGAATCAGGACACCCTATATAGACACACCTCTGGCCGGGATCGTGCAATTGAGGGGCGTAAGGGTGGAAGTGCGAGCACTGGGACTGGGCCTTGTTGAGAAGTAGAAAACATTTCAGACAGCTGAAGATCTGCCCAGGAAGTCAGAGGTCAGCATTCAAGATAAATGACTAAAACCAGAGAACTTCATCTCAGACACTAAAGGTCTCAGTTAGCAGGTCAAAGGTCAAAGGTCATGACAAGACAGTTAGACGGAACCAGAAGGGTAGCAGGAGAGACTTTCTCCTCTTTGAAGAACCTGCAGCTCAGCTCAAGTCGGAGAAGTTTCATCTGAACAAGACATCTGGAACAATAATTGCTATGTTTACATGGGTGCAAATAATCGGAATGAATGCCCTATCAGTTCAAAAATTCTACATGTAAACATGTCAGTGGGAATATTCTGACCTGATACGGCCCGATCAGAATGAATTTCCATTCTGATTAAGAGAGGTGGTTTTGTTAAAATTAAAGTCCCATTAGTTGTCACACACACTGATGTGCGTGCGACATTTGTTCTCCGCATTTGACCCCTGGGGGAGCGATGAGCTGCAGACACAGCTGTACTCGGGAACCATTTGGTGGTTTAACCCCCCAATCCAACCCCTTATTGCTGAGTGTTAATAGGGAGGCATTGGGTCCCATTTTTTTTTCTCAAAGTCTTCGGTATGACCCTGATCTCCCAGTCTCAGAGCAGACACTCATACCACTAGGCCACTGAGCTTTGTTCGGTCATCGTTCCGACTGACATCCATGTACACACTGATTGTTGGAGTAAAACAACGCCTGCTGCACATGTGTGCAACTTTGGCGTGACATCTTTCCGCCTTTGCAGAAGCTCAGGGAAAGTCTGGGGAGCTGGAGGACGGTGTGAGCGGGTGATCATTAGTACGTTATCCTGCTCTCCTCTCCTGTGGCGGAGGAGCAGTAGCGTTATGTACCACCAAGCCTGTAGCTTAGGTTAAAGCGATGAGTAAAAACAAAAGCATACAGGTAAAATGCATAAAAAGGCATAACAGGAGAAAAATGTGAGTCAACGGACAAAGCTAGAGAATAAAATAATGAAATGCGAGGCGAAAATATGAGGTTTGTTAACAATTTTTTTCTGGGAAAGACAACTCTACACATGCTCAACCGTCTGACTGAATGCTTGGTGCATGTTTGCTCACAGCATGATTGAATCATTTCAGTTAAGGCCCATATAAACAGAGATTTGGGATTTCTGATCAACCAAGATTTGAATCGGATTAGGGAAATTTGGCACATATAAACATAGCTAATGAGAGCAAAGTAGAGATGTTTACCCATAATGCACTTCAGCAGCAAGTCCATCACTGCTCTTGACCAAAGCTCTGTAGAGAGACTGAGTTTCTGCTGCTGCAGAACGTTCTGTTGGACCATGAGGTGGACAATGTGTCTATGTTGTCTTTGTTCTTGTTTAATAAATCAGATTGTTTTAGATATATATTTAATTTTATTTTTACATTAAAAGTGCTGTTAAAGGTTCAAGATGCTGCTGAAGCAGAAACTTTTAGGACTCTTTATGTGTAAACTGAAGACCATCCTTAAGTCTGAACCAACTTTGATGTGAATGTGTCTTCAGAAGGCATGGGCTGAATGTCTCCGTGTTCCTTTTCTGAAGACCAAAGGTCAAATTACCTGTCCAGCATTAAAAATTGTTTAATATGTGTCAGATATAAACTAGTTCAGTTTAAAGTCATCCATAAACTACATTTTTCTAAGATCAGGCTTAACCAAACACAACTCTGTTTCTCTGTCTTGTGAAAGATGTGGTGCTGATGAAGGGTCCCTTGCACATTTATTTTGGCATTGTCCAGTCTTAAAGGCACTTTGGTGTCAAATTTTCACCTGTTTTTCAAATCAGCTTTTAAAAAGTGCTGCTTGATGGTATATTGGCAATACTAGGATCTTCTGCCTCAATCGAGACTCCTGCTCACAAAATCTGACGATTACAAAGGGTATGCTCGCTGCAAAGAAATGTATCCTCCTCCTGCTCTGTCCTTTGAAAGATGGCTAAGTAAGATGGTGTCTATCTCCAAGGTGGAACAGATCAGACTTGATAATAAAGGGAAGCCGACACTCTTACAAGATCTTCATATGTACTTTTCCATCTTGATTTGTCTTTTTGTTTAAGGGTTTTTATGTGTATGTGTGTAAATGTATACATGTGTAAATAGATATACAGTTATACTTGTTCCTCCCCTTTTACGAGTTCACATAGGTTGATTGTAATCACAGTTGAATTGAAAATTGGATTTTTACAAGCAGTTTTTAAACACTTGTAAAAATAAACTAAAATATGTTTAAAAAAATGTATCTTCAGGACCAACGTTATGTCCACAGTTGATGGGAGGAGACAAATGGAACTCTTTTTGTCCACAGAGAGAGCAAACGATCAAACCAGAAAACAGAAGTCCTCTGTCTCCAGAAGGAAGTCCTGTGGTGTTTGTGGACAGATACCTGGAGAAGCACATCACTCCAGTCACTCTGAAGTCCAACGTAAAGAGGAACCCTCTGTACATGGACATCAGAGCCACGGAAATTGTGGACAGTGATAAATTCAAACCTTCTTGGACAGTCAAAGAGTATGATGCCCAAACGATCCGCGGCAACTTGGCAGGATACTTAAAGGTATGAGGGCGTGAGGATGAGCTTAGTTTTGGATGCATGAGCAGATGGACAATTGAGAAGCTATATCTGCTGAATATTATTATCTCAATAATCTAAATCAAGACTAAATGACTTGGATAATTTGTAGCAGAAATCCATCTGTCACATTATCAAATCAAGTGTTTTTAAATTTGAAACTGGTGAGTGTAAGTTTGGATGTTTTGTTGTTTTTCTTTTCATTTGCAGGAGGAGGAGAAAACACCCAAAGACCTGGAATTTTGGCTGGAAGATCTTTACACTCCAGGATTTGACTCATTACTTAAAAGGACAGAAGCAGAGCAGAAGAGAAAAAGACTCTGTAAAATAATCTCCTTGTTCATTTTGGTTTTTGGTATTTTTCTTATTGTTATCATTGTGCCAGTTGTCCTTCTACAAAAGAAAAACTGACCTGGAAAAATCTGCTGTAGCACAGACGATCCCACTGAGGCACCCGAAAGTGGACTTGAGAGGAATCAGGATCGCTGGGACCCCCCCCCCCCCCCCCCCCTAGATTTACATCAAACTCTGCAAAAATCAGCAGTTTCAAAAGTGCATGGAAATGGAAATGAAGACGAATGCTGAATAACAACAGCAGTTGTTTAAATTAGATTAGAAGTTCCTGACTCTTTGTGATTCTGCTCTAAGTGATCAGTGATTTGAATGCATGAATATTTTCTGTGTATGTTAATTAAACAGAAGGTGTGAACTACTGGATGTGTAAACACTGGAGTCTAACTACTTCTACATTAATTAGTGATTGATACATTCATAAATGTGACAGATTGCTGACCTAAGGATAAATGTTAATAAAAATAAAGGTTAAATATTGTGCTGCAATATTGTTCTTGTTGGAAACTCATTGTCACATCAAGAAAATGAAGATAAGATAATTAAACTACAGGTAAACAGCATTAAAAAAACAGCCAATTAATAAAGTGAAAAGACTAGAAATATGATCTCAGACATTATTGGCAGGAGCATGTGAGGAATACCCAGCTGTGCTCTATCGTCTGCTTACTCATGAAAACCAGGTCTGATGTGTGATGTGTTTTATACTTGATGACGTATGCAGTGGTATGGTTGCAGCCACTGGCTTTCTCCTCGTGTGTTCTGGAAACTGCACATGCTACGCCAAGCCACGCCACTAGATGGTGATATAGTATAAACTTATTTTTAATGTATTTTACAGAGACTGCGAGAGACTTTCGGAAGAATTGACTGTACCTGCTAATGGTTTGTCGTTGTAAATTGTTGTGCTAGTAATTATTAAGATCAGTCTCCACATATTTACGCCTATATTTTAAAATTAAGTTTCTTATGCTGAAACTTAATTTTTACACATTTTTTTTCATTGAAGAACAAGACATTAACAGCAAATATGGCACATATCAGCAGAAACGTTTTCCAACTTGAACAAGTAACATAAAAAATAAACAATAATGATAATAATAATACAATAATAGGCTGCACAGTGTCGCAGTGGTTAGAGCTGTTGCGGATGGGTTCGCTTCCCGGCCTGGGATCTTTCTGCATGGAGTTTGCTTGTTCTCCCTGTGCATGCGTGGGTTCTCTCCGGGTACTCCGGCTTCCTCCCACAGTCCAAAAACATGACTGTTAGGTTAATGGTCTGTCCAAATTGTCCTTAGGTGTGAGTGTGTGTGTGCATGATTGTTTGTCCTGTGTGTCTCTGTGTTGCCCTGCGATGGACTGACTCTCCGTCCAGGGTGTACCCCGCCTGATTGCCCATTGACCGCTGGAGATAGGCACCAGCCCCCCACGACCCTACGTGGACAAGCGGGTTCAGAAAATGGATGGATGGATAATACAATAATAAAAGGGGGAGGGGTCATAGAATAAACGAAGAGTTGATTCGATATGCTCAACACAGAATGAACAAAAGTTATCTTCAACGGAGAAGCGATGTCTTTTGAAGGACAAGCTCCTGAAAAAGACTTGAAATGGACTTCCTTGGCTTTAGGGGGGATTAGAAGTTTTAGATAATTTGTTCTATTTTTTTCTATTTGAGTGTCAGGGAACATTTGTGAAATCGAGTTTGTGTTAGATTTATAGGGAAAAAGGGCATTAGTGAATAGTTTCCTAATTATAGGGTTTTGAATCTATTTGCAGTGATGTTGTGACCATCAATTAAAAGCCCAGGAAGGAAAGGAGTTTGTAAAATTGGATTTTGATAAGAGTTGCAGGAAGATATTATTCTAACGCTGAAAGTACTACACAGTTGTATCTTTTACTCAACAGAACAAAAATTCCAGGATTTGATTTTTAAACCTTTAACCCCCCAAGAACTTTGTTTAACAAAAGTATACACCAGTACAACAAATGAAGTAGAATGCAGTTGAATACATTTATGCTAACATTTAACTTCTGTATGTCCTGGCTGTCTTTTGGGAAACAAAAATTGACATGTTGTCAGACCAAAACGTTTGGAGGATGCGAGCATCGATTCACTGTCACTCGCGCTCATAGATATGTATATAAACATATGTGTTTATATACATATTTATGCTCGCGCCTACTGTGTTTTCTACTGTGTACTGTGCCTCAAGTCAGGGCCGGATTTATCATTGCAGGGGCCTCCGAGCACAATGTGCCTAGCCCCCCCCTCCCAACATTACTGTCACCCAGTAGCACTTTTTAGACATTTCATAACATTGTCAATATTAAAAATTGCTTACTTACCGTATGTTGATACAAAAGCATTTACCTCCAGGTCAAAATAGTTTTATAACCTAATCACAAACACTTTTCCTATTGTGCCTCACTCTGTCTTTCTTCCTCTGCCCTCTCTCTTTTCTTCTCTTTTTCTGTCTCTCTCTTCCTCACAGTGCTCCTATCTTCTCTTCTGTCTGTATTAACAAAAATGCTGTCAATCTGTTGGACAGTGGGGTCAAGAGTCTGCTGTAAAAGAGATGTCAAAGTACAACAGAAAGTAATGCAGGATTATTTAAAAGATTGTACAGTTACTGAAAAGTTTGAAAAGATGAAATATCTGCATGTTTTTTGTTTGTCTTCTGTCTCCTTCCTCCTCTTGTCTCCTCAGGGCTTAATTTTTTTTAAAGTCGACCGTCAAGTAATAAAAATCAAGTGTGTGTGTGGTGTGTGTGTGGCGGTGGCGGTGGTGGTGGTTGTTCGCTGGAGTTTTTGACAATTAAAATTGCGCCCACATTTTCTAAGTTAACACACATTTCTTTTAACAACGGTAGTTTCTGCATCTTAACTGTTCCCCTGCTTCAGCCCCCTCCACCCTCCCCCTGTGCAGCGGCAGCAAATTCACTGATGTGCCTCGAGGGCAAAACAGGTGATGCGCCCCGCTCCACAGCAGCAAAACGCATCAGGCACAAATAAAAGACAGAAAACATAAAAGGAAATGAGCCGACATGAACGATTGCTTGTTAAATTTGTTTTTGAGGTGGCAACACCTAATTTGATAATGTTACTGTGGCCGTGCTCAGGACGCAGATGTCTGGCGCGCGTCAACGATCAGAGTTTTGCATGCACAAGCTGGTTGAGGTTAGGATGGCGGTGAGGGGAAGGTTAAATTGCAAGAGGGTAAAGGTCACAATTCGGTCAAATGTCCGTTTTACGGCGGGCGTCAGATGCCGATACTCTGGCACAGCGCATCCCCTCCTGACGCGCAGGGGCTCGTCACCTGCTGTCTTTTCGGAGGACTGCATCTTTTCGATCATTATCACGTGACAGCGACTCGTTTATGAAAGTCATAAAAAGTCACTACAGAGCTGTGAAGTCGACTAGTTGATACAACCCCTATCGCAGAGCTCTGATCGTTGACGCGCTCCAGACAGCTGCTTCCTGAGCATGGCCACAGTGACATTCTCTAAGTGTTGCCACCTCAAAAACAAAGTTAACACGCGATCATTCGTGTCGGCTCATGCTTTCTGTCTTTTATTTGTGCCTTATGCATTTCGCTGCTGTGGAGCGGAGCGCATCACCTGTTTTGTCCTCTGGTGAATTCTCCTCGCCGGTGTGGCCCGCGCACGGCACGCACTCCCGCTCTTTTTGCGGCCAGTAGATCATTTTTAACTGCAGTTCAAAGGTAACTCATGAGGTGAAAAAAATATGAAGCCAGGTGGCAGTTTTTCTTTAGGACTGAGAGGAGATGCAGGAAGATAATAAACAGACAGGATAGAAAAACAGTCAAATAAAAAACAAACTCGTTTTTGTACCTGGTGGTTGCAAGAAACAGACATGTGAAAATAATCAGAAGTGAGGAACAGAAAATGAAATGATTCTTTCAATGTTTAGATCAGCACTCAGCAGGGACTCTGAGAGGCCTCTCTGAGCGACAGGGTTTGGAAAACACTCGCTTCAGTGGGAGGAATCTTCCCGCATGCGCTCTGGTTCTGCAACGCGCTCCAAGCCAATCTCCACAACTTCAGCTCGCTGTGCACATATGCGCTGACAGTGAGCTGCGCTGAGCAGTTCAGATGTTCAGATGGGAATCTTTTCTTGGGTGAATTAGCTACATCTGCGATGTGTGTAACGAATAAAATGTCAGTTCGTCTGCATGCGTCGGGGTAATTCTTTCTATTCTTTCTCCGTCAAAATAAACCGTCAAATACGGGAACTATCCGGTCAACACAAGCCCTGCTTTTGACTGTTTTGTTTTCTTGTGAAAATTGTTGGAAAGAGATAAAATTTGACTTGATTAACACCAGAGCCAGTGCGCCGTTATCTCTGTGACTGTAAATGAGGGAAAAAAAAATTGATCGGATCCTGCACGTCTTTTAACACATTGGTCAGGATTGACGCACTTTGTTTTCATTTAGTTGGTTAAAAAAAAGTCGGGCTCGGGTCGGGCCAGAGAATCCTGAAAACCTTTTCGGACCGGTTCAGGCTGGGGCTCCACCCCCCGGGCCGGGCCGTACACGGGCTCAGATTTTAGGCCCGTGCAGGGCTCTAGTGCAGGCACATGAGTTTGCTGCCGTTGCGCAGGGGGTGGGGGGAGAGGGCTGAAGTAGCTGGGGAACAGTAAAGATGCAGAAACTACCATTGTTAAAATAAATGTGTGTTAACTTAGAAAATGTGGGCGCATTTTTAATTACTTGTCAACTTGTTTCTCCAACGTTCAGACTGCTGCACAAAAAAAAAAAAGTCTACTGCTAGCGTGGGCCCCCTTGTGGCTGTGGGCCTCTGGGCTGTGCCCAGTTTGCCCATATTAATTCAGCCTTGCCCCAAGTTGTTGAGTGCAATAAGTGCAGTTATATAAGCGCAATCAAGTTCTTTGCAGTTCATTCTAATTCATCTGATCATTCTTCAGAACATTCTTGAGTTAAAGCAAACTCATAAAATAAAACTAAGACAGAAAACTTTGTTTCTATTTTTATCAATTTCTGGCAACAGGCGAATTGAACGAGCAGGCTTCAGAAACAAGTAAGCAAACAAACAAAAACAATGAAGAACAATGCCCTTTGTGTAACAGACAAGGGCGCTAAAGAGGTAAGTGGCCAGATTTGTGGTTATGAAGAAAACAGCAATTATACGTCATCACTTAGCGCCAACTTCAACGAAGAAGCAAACGAAAATGGCTGCAAGGTTACTGCTCCGTACCAGCGTGAGAGCCGCGGTTAGCTCCCGGGTTTCGCGGTTGTCTCAAGCTCCAGTTTTGGCCCGCAGCATGGCGGCTGGAGGTGAGGACTAGACGGGCGTGTAACCTCGTTATCATGGTGGAAACGTAAGCTCAGCGAACGCAGCTAGCCCTGGGAACCATAGTTACTGATTGAGTGTTTCTGTTTTGTCCCAGACATGCTTTATTCTGTTATCTGTTGGTTGTAAACATAGTCGGGATTATTTGTCTTTGAAGCAGATTAATCTGTGAATGAGTGCAGGCTAAAGATTTGCAGCTGATGTTATATTCCTCAAGTTCTCACTCGTGTTCGGTTTGTCATGTTCTCAGGGATCCCCACGGATGAGGAGCAGGCCACTGGGCTGGAGAAGATCATCATGAAGGCCACGAAGGAGGGAGCGGTACGACTATCTATGTAATGTTTTTGTAATTAAAAATAGTCAAACATCTTCTGTTTTTTAAGAAGTTTAAAGATGTATTTTAATACATTTCAGTGGTCTCTAGGAGGAATGAATGCCTTGTACTGTAAGTTGATCTCTGGAGGAAACATTCCAGTGCGCCTGTTTCAGCACAGAGAATTCAGCTGGAAGAGAAAGTAGCTTCAGACACAGTATTTGGAGTCTTATTTCCTGATAGATGGACATCTCACCTCTGATTGGATAATAGCAATGCAACTCCGCCACTGACTTTGCTCTGCAACATTTATGCTTTATCTCCACAAATAACAAGCCTGGAGGAGTTCTGCTGTGTGGTGGAGTTGCTAATGCTAACTGTTAGCCTCTACTAGTCGAGACGTTCTCTGCTGTTTTCTGGTAACTGAACCAGATCTGTCAGGCTTTTCTTTTCTTCCCATCTATATCAGGAGCTAACGTGAGATAGGTGTAGGAGACCATTTTCATGTTCAGCCTGCTTGATAAACTCAGAGTGTAAAACGTCATCTGTTTACCTGCAGTTGTATAATTCAACTTCTCAAGAGCTGGTTAAGATGAGATCATAGCGATGTTCAGGATTGTTAATTTTATAGGTTATATTGGTCTTTTTATGACTTCAGTCTTACCTGTGGGGGCAGCAGCAGCTTAGGAGGTAGAGCGGGTTGTCCAGTAACTGGAAGGTTGCAGGTTTGATCCCGGCTCCCACCAGAGTTTTGCTGTTGTCATTAAGCAAGGCACTTTACCCAACTTGCCTGCTGGTGGTGGTCAGAGTGATCGGTGGCGCCAGCTCTCTAAAAGCCTTGCCTCTGTCAGTGTGTCCCAGGGCAGCTGTGGGTACATTGTAGCTCATCATCACCAGCGTGTGAATGGGTGGGTGACTGATTGTGTTGTGAAGTGCCTTGGGGGGTCGTAGAGCCCTAAGAAGGTGCTATTGACCCTTTGCACGTGATGTCACGCCACTCATGTGACCGCCCCCTTCGCCATGATGGACGGCAAAAAGACCGTTTACACTGTAGAAACTCCAGTGAAGGTAGTCAAAACAAGCCAGTTTGTAGCCTTTTATCGCTTTTATTTAGTTGATTTGACAGTAAAATGGTTTTAGCTTGCTGCGTGGTTGGCTGCACTAAGAGACAAGGATGTAAACTCAACTCGTTTTTTCTTTTTAATGGTTTTGGTGGAGACTGAGGACGGAGATGAACTGCAGCGATCAATCAATCAAGCTGACTAGCAGCCCTCAGATTTGCAGCGAACATGTTTTTACTGGGAAAGATTAACGTTCATTTATTTCACGAGGAAGACAGGGACAGGGATAAATGTGATGTGTTTATACAAGTTATTGATAATCCTGATGGATGGGTATTTCACCACGGAGGCTGCGCTCCGTCCACTGTAGTGTAAAGCTATTTATTGGTTTTTAAGGCATTGAACGGGATGGCACCAGAATATTTATCTGACTTGTTACAGCCATATATATCTAGTCGTTCGCTCCGCTCAGAGAGTCACCATATGCTTCTAGTCCCTGCAACTAGGCTCAAAACAAGAGGAGACAGGGCATTTTCGGTAGCAGGCCCGACATTATGGAATGATCTTCCATTATCTGTGCGACTCTCCACGTCAGTAGACGTTTTTAAGAAGGCGCTGAAGACCCATTATTATAGTCTGGCTTTTAAATCTGTTGACTGATGTTGTTTTGTGTTTTGCTGGTTTTTTCTTAATTTGGTTTCCTATATATTTGTTTTTATCTTTTTTTAGTTTAGTCTTGTTCAGCACCTTGGTGACATAATATATGTCTGTAAAGTGCTTTTATAAATAAAGGTGATGATGATGATGATGAAAGCGAGACAATTATTAACAATATTAAAGCTCTAATATATGATTACGTGTGTTAAAATTACGTTATTTATTTATATGAGTGTCGGCTTTCAGAGATCTTCTCATTCCGGTGTGAGAGCAGCAGCTGAACGCGGGAACACCACCAGCAACAGAAGCTGGTAGGGATCCGGACTTTTAAAAAATCAGCTTTGGTGTAAAGTGAAACGCTGTTTATAACATAAAGTTATGAATCCAGAGGGGTACATTTAGGCAAAGTCAGCAACATGTTTACATCGGTGAACAGCTGCAGAGAGAACTTGAGCTAACGTTGGGAAGCTAGTTAGCATACCGCTCTTTATGAGCCCCCGCTAGATGCGCTACTTCTGATAACTGAACTGGGCATGAACTAGTTGAAGGAATGCTGGAGGAGTTTGTTTTTGTTTTGATCGCAAAAACAATTTCAGGCTCTACTTTTCCCTTTGTTTAGTAATCGTGTCGTTCATTGTTTACATGCTTTTGCCGTCCACCATGGTGGACCCACGTGATTAGGTGACGCCGGTGCAAAGGGTCAATACAAATGCATACCATTACCTTGTAGAACGGTTCACAGTATGGATCTCTGCCACCTTTACCCTGCAGCTGTTCACGTGTCATAAAACAGGTCAGGGGGCCGCTGTCCTCTCAGCAGACAAACAAGGACATTAACTACATTTATCTCTGACATGAGATACATTACACACTCTTACTGTGGAGATACACACATATGCACACACACGTTCAGGGGAATGTCTTTCTGCTGAGATTTTTTACTTTAATCATATATGGATCATAAATTAAAATCTGCCGTTGAATTCATTAATGAACTCTGATTCTTATAATGCCTTTGTTCTTCTCCCCCTCCTCTTCCTCCAGGATCCCTACAGCATAATGAAACCGAAGAGCTACGCTGGCTCCAAGTCAGACCCCCACCTGGTTCCCTCGATCACAAACAAGAGGATTGTGGGATGTGTCTGTAAGTTGCTGTCTTCGTCTTTTAGGCTGCTCCTGAACAGGATTGAGTCAGTTTGTGGTTAAACACCGTTCTGTTGTTGTTTACTCACTGGTTTCATTCCCTGATTCGTTGTTACATCTAATTTCTGAAACACTCTTCCAGACAGGTGTAACATTTAATCACTTTTACATTTTTTTCTGTTAATTTGATACAATTGTGAGACTTAACATACAGTTGTGTGTTTTATGAGAGTAGTATAACACTGGCCAGTAGAGGCAGTATAGACCTAAATGCTGACCCATGTTTGCTTTTTGTTTGAATTCACACTATATCAGCCATGTTCGGCCCTATTTTCTGTTCCCATGTGGGTGAACTGTGACTGCATAAACAGAAACAGTTTCACTTGCTTACATGAGCTCATGCTGGTTTAAAAATGTTAGTTTCAACATGTAGAGTCTCCCAGTTCATCTTCAGGACAGAATCAGACAGGATTTTTGTGTCCCTCCTCTCAGTGTCTCCTGTTGTCTCTTAAAAGGTGAGGAGGACAACACGGCTGTGGTTTGGTTCTGGCTTCATGAAGGCGAGGCCCAACGCTGTCCATCCTGTGGTTCCCACTATAAACTGGTGTCTCATGAGCTGCCCCACTAACTTATTAATCTCTCATAAAAGCTTAGAGTTTGACTTGTTTTAAAAATTCCTCCAGAACAAGAAGAGTGGCATTCATTTAATTCCTCAGCCTACAGGAGCATCTCGTGTCCTTTGGGCTTTTCTTGTTTTGTCTTATCCTCAGTCTTTGTTTTACACGCTACATTTCCATGGAGACGAGGTGTTTATGGGACCCTTAGATTCAGTTTACGGTGTACTGTAAGATGTTACACTCGGACCATTTGAATCCTCCACTTAAACCAATAAAAAACAACTCTTGATTGTCTGCTGCAGTTCTGTTCAAAGTAGATTCATTCTTTGTATTTTCAATTGGGGTGCTTTCTTTTGGAAGGTTTTTCTGCCTCAGGGCTTCCTGTTCATGAGTGTTCGTCCTTGTGTAGTTATTAAACTTAAACCACTACTTAACATTTACACTGTTGTTAACAACTTATTTATGGATGAATAATTGTAAATATAATCTAATAATTTCACTCAGAAGCTCATTAGTACTTTCTCATGAGAATGGCTGAGTCAGTGGTAATGTAGGCTCTATCTGGAGTATTTCTCTTATCTGATGTCTCCATCTAGTGGCTGACAAGCATATCACACAAATAATTTCTCCTTTTTTCTAAGATGGCGACTTCACGTTTCTTGTTAATGAATAAATCCGACAAATAGAGCTAAAATACATTTTATTTTCACGTCATGTTGTGTTTTCATATATTTTAAAAACGTACTTGTTCGTGAAAAGTTAATCAACTCCGCATCAGCCGAGGTATTTAAATACGAAGCATCTATGCGGTATAACCGTCGACATATAAATATTATAACACTAGTAATAGTACGCTATTGGTTAGTTCTAGTCGGTGCTCAGTTTCCTATTGCACGGAGCTCTGTGGAGCAGGGGCATAAGTGGAAAAAAGAGATGTATTGCTTACATTATATCACGGTACATGATAAGGTAATCACTTTTACTGATTTCTGAATAATATAACTTCTGAAAGGGGACGACTCCGGAAAGACTAAGTCATTTTTCACATACTGAACAGAAGCTGTGGGGTGCCACTAAATACCTGACCCTAAAATAAAACTGGTCATAAATGTAAATCTCTATAAACACATGCAAAAGTTTTTGTGGCAGTGATTTTGTTTCTATTTATTTAATCAGAAAATAAACTAAGATTTTGTACAAGAAAATTATCATTTGTGTTTAGAACTTGTGTGATGTCCAAAGAGGAAAAAACATGCGCAGGATCCAGTCCTCGGTCAAGTTTACAAGAAATCACATGTTGCAGAACTCTGTCGTAAGGGGATGCAGAAATGAAAGAAAATGATAAAAAATGGTGGTGTGTGCTCACAAGAGCCAGCGGACCCCCAGGGGCTCTCTTGTCCAGAGGAATCGGACTGGTTATGTCCTTTAAGGGGCTCCGCCCTGAAGCTATCCCGTAATACATATGTGTGCTGGTGGGGGTGCTGGGAACAGCTGGAGAGGGAAGAGAAGAAGACAGGTGTTGCTCAACTGCTAACAGGATCATCTTCAATAGGTAACCTGACAGTTGAATGTATGCATGAATACAAACTGAAGCATTTGTAATTTTAGTCTAAGAAAAGAACGCGTTATGTAACCCACAATAATTTATGAGGTGTTTTTAGTGTTTTTGCTGTCTTCATCTGCAGACTCACTCAGAGACTCGACCCCCCCCATCATGAAACTTAAGGTCATGGTGCCAAATAGACATCTGAAAAGTTCACAGAGAATCTTTTGGTTTCACGGCATTGCAGATGGTTTTAGTCTGGGTTCAACTAGGTGCAGTTGCTATATTATGAGTTCAGGCTTTATTGATTTTAAAATAATCTGCCAGCAGAGAGCACCATCTTCCCAAGCAAAAATCTCCCTGCATTAAACCGTAACGTCACACAGAAACAAACGCCACTAAAAAACTAAAAGGTCAGATTTATTTTTGTGTGACTTAAGTTGTTAACCAAGATAAATTCCCAATGTTCTGAAGATGGAGAAAAATAAATCTGCTTTAACATAAAAGGGTTTCAGAATAAAAGGTTAGCTGTCCCATGAGGGCAAATCAGGAGTGGACATGTCTTTGTGGGACTGGATGTGAGACACGTGGCCACGAGTAGAGAGACGGCATCACACTGAACAGAGATAAAGAGGTGGGGAACATCTGATGATCTGCAGTAACTCCACAAATAGTTCAGTCACATCAAATCCCTGGTGGGGGAGCACATTGGTATGGATCTAAAATTACACGGCACTGCTTTATTGTGATGATACTGTTGTAATATAACAACAGTGGAATCAGATACATACAACTGCTTTTAACTTCTGATAATCTAAAACCACACTGACTGTTTTTTACTTCAATCAATTGGGTATGGTAGCTGTAATCATTAAAGCAAATGAAAAGTAATACTTCAGACATGTTTCCATCACCCAGTTTATTCTGAATGCCCTTCATGTCTTTCAAATGAAAAAACAGCGAATTACTAAAGTGCCTCAGTAACCTGTATGGGACAGATCAGTGGAAAATAACTCCCTCTGCATTCCTTCTTGTCACACGTTAACATTTTAGAACAAAAACAATCAGAGTAAATACAAACACAGTTCTGAAATGATCATTCAAACTGCTTGGAACATCCTTGGAGGCAACAACTGAGTCTCTCATGCTGCTGTGGGAAGGGGGGCTGGTGCCTATCTCCAGGTCAACAGGCAATCAGGCAGGGTACACCCTGGACAGAGAGCCAGTCCATCGCAGGGCAACACAGAGACACACAGGACAAACAACCATGCACGCACACACACACACCTAAGGACAATTTAGACAGACCAATCAACCTAACAGTCATGTTTTTGAACTGTGGGAAGAAGCCGGGGTACCCGGAGAGAACCCACGCATGTACAGGAAGAACATGCTGGCAGCTTAACGCTTAACCATATTATTTAATGCATTACTAATCAGACACCCTCCCCTGGCTCTTTGTCCTAACCTTAAAGAGGGACTGGACTGCACACCATCAGAAAATGTAACTCCACCCTCAAGATTTGAAAAATGCCATGAAAGTGGGCATTGCCAGGAGGCACAGAGTGGCATGGCCAAGTGTGGGGAATTTCCATCCTGGGAGGGAGGAGGAGTGGTAGGAGACTACTGATGACCTGATATTGTTCCAGCCCCAGTCAATCACAAATTTAAAATGCAGTAGCTGCTGTTCTTCCACAGGGGGCAGCACTAAGACGTTTTTAGACCTAGATTCTAGATTTAATTAAGTTTACACAAACATGTCAAAAAATGCACAGAAACAGAAATATTTTATTTGTAAAGACCCAATTATACAGTCAATTAGCAAACAAGAAGTTATTTTGGGGTTTAGTTACTTTTTAAGTCCTCTTAATATTTAACAATAACGTTAATAAAGGGACCCTTTGTTTACTAATGCTTAATAATGCACTAAGTAACGTTAACAAAGGACCCTTATTGTAAAAGTTTTACAGTTTAGTTTTTGTGTCTGTAGTCGACTGAAAACATTTCTCCAAAGTCTTGAGAACCATCACCGTGTGTTTGGTAAATTTGAGCTGACGGCCAGTAGAGGCTCTGGCACTGTTGTCAGGTTGTGTTGAAGTAATTCCCAGTTCTACAGGTCTGGCTGTAATAATGTCTGGTCCGCTTTCTAAGTCATGAGGTTGATGAACCAATTTAATATTAGGGGCAATTACTTTGACACACAGGGCCAGGTTGTTTACTTTCTTCTCTTAATAATTGAAATCAATTTAAAAACTGTATTTTGTGTTTACTCAGGCCATCTTTGATGCAGCAAAAAATCAGAAGGATAAAAATACTGAAAGTATCTTTCATCTTCTGTAGTTGAAATGTTTCAGTTTTCTTGCTGCTGTTGGATAATTTTCACTAGAAATTAGCTTCTGAATTAAATATTTAAATGCCCACTACAGTGTAACTAATGGATGCACTAGCTTTGTGCATTGGTTAGTCCAAATAAATAGAATAAGTGTAACCTATTAACTAGTCACTGTTCTGTTATTATTCTGCCAAAATGCTATGGCCAGTGGCACTCACTGATAATTTTCATTGGGGCGGCCAGATGGGGCCAGAGAAAACTTTGGGGGTGGCGCACCAGATTGGTCTGGTAACTCTAGGAGGGTTTAGCCTGTGGTGATGCATTACATCTTCCTTTGTTCTTTTTAATTAAAAAACAAAATGCATCCACGCGCTTACCTCAAATTTAAAGAAAACTGTTGTTTTAAAATGTAATGTAGAATTGTCCAAAACACTTTAATTGCTGCCTTCATCAAAACATCCACATAAGCTATAGATTTAAACTTTTGTTTAAAAAATGGTGATTGGGAGAAACATAAATAGTTTAAAAAATCTGATTATTTATTTAACCTTTAATTGTATATTTTATTGGGTTTCACATTCATTTCTGAATAAATTAAATGAATTTATAGTTTGTGTGAACATTAATATGATTTATTAAAGAACATTGGTCTTCTCTGGTGTGCCTAGTGGGGTAATTTTCTGCAGTTGGGACTGGTCCAACCTTGGGGGCGCGACTGATAATAGCGATCTGATATGGGTCCAAATTTGTGCAATTTGTCTAGAGTCTGAGCAAACATGCCATCCTCATATGGATGTCCTCACAAGACACAGCTGGTTTGATTTAGCAGCAGGTTATTGTCCACACAGACAATAAACCATATTCTTTGTTCTTTTGTGCAACAAACAAGGCTTGTACAAAATTCTTAGCCACAGCCTGCAAGCCTTGATGAGGCAGGTAAAACAAAATAAGCCTTTGGAAAACATGGCAGTGAACTCAGATTCCACACAGCTTTGTAGGCTCCATTCTGGACTCAGGAAACAGAAGCTTAGCTCAGTTTCACATTACAATAGAGGATGGGGCTTTTCACACAACACACACAGGCCTTCTGTACTTTCATAAACCATTTATCTCTCAAGGACCTTCTACTGACTTGCATCAATACCAACCCTTATTGTTCCAAACTGAAGCCCTAATCTCAGTTAATGTGTTTCTGGCAAGGGACCAGTGCAGAAGTCACAAAATCCTCCCTCATCCATTAGAGGCGGGATTAAGTTCCCGTCGAGTTCTCTGTTAAAGGCATACTAAGCAACTTTTTCATATTTTTAAAAACATTTCTTGAGCCAGTTTGTGCCAAAATGACCATTTACAAGACAAATGAAAAGTCTCTCAGCCCCCTCTGTTCTTTGTGAGCAGGATATCCCGTGTACAACTTC